ATCATGAACCCACGGCTTAAACCACTGGCCATCGATGCCTAAATAGCCCCAGCTTCTCCTGGAGGCGTCGTGCTGAACACTCGAACGTATTAGAAGCGTCCGTGGTGATCAATGACGTCGCTATGACTCTGTCTAAGCTGGCCGTAGCAAACGTGAGCCAGCGTGGAGAGACCAGGGCGAAATTCAGACTGTTGAGAGCACAGGACGTAGCTCGAGGTCAGATAGGTCATGAGCTGCATACATATAACGCGTTTTGCCACGACAGACAGGAATGGAATGGATCGGTAAGTGCTCGGGTCACTAACGCCGCTTTTCTTATGCAACGATATGACTGTGGCGGCCTTTCACTGACACAGGTCTTCATGGTTGGTAATCGAACTGTTTATAACTCGAATTACAGCCGGTTACACTACCAGGCCGCAACTTGGGGTGGGAAATGGGAAAATATGTTGTACAGACTACACTTTTCTCAGCACAAATCCGGACCAGCTACTTTGATGAAGGGGAAGGGGAGAAGGAGCAGCTGTCCCTCAATTTTTAAAAACACCACATGGCGCTTCATGAAAAACTTTAAATCGACATTGCCTCCCCACACCAGCTACGTCTTAACCGCATTTGCCGTGGGGCTATACGAACTTTTTATAAAACACCCAGAAGCGTTTTCAGAAGTACTGTCCCGACCCACTGAGTTGCGAAGAACCGTACATAAACGTGTCCGGTGGCCGGTGCAGATGGCGCTGGTAGCGCGAGCGTGGTGCCCTGCCGGTCAGCGTTTGTGTAGATGGCGCCGGCTATCATGACTCCCGCGTGAGCTGGTAGCTGAGAGCCGTAGAGGGCGCCAATGGCGGGTAGCTACTTCTCATGTGACGAGAGTTTAACCGTATATTAGCCGATTCAGTCCAGACGTGTTTTAGCCGATTGGGTCAAATGGCACGGCTTCCATTTCATTGTCAAGCGGAGGTCAAGCATTGGTCGCTGCCGAACGCGTATCGAGAGGTGTAGTGTTTCACCAAAGAGACCGTCCTCGCTCTTTCTCCGTTGTTCATAGACAGCATGCATATGCACATGCCGCTGCTGCCGTCACTGTCAGCCAATAACATGTAAAGAACGAGTCACATCTCGTCTGAGGATCGCCGAAAGATCAGCCAACAGCCAGCTCCATATCTTCGTCAAGGAATGGGACATTCATCGCGCGGCTACATCAGTTGCCTTCTGCCGTCGAAGGACTTCACCTCTTACTTCACACAGCAATCCGAATATGATGAAAGCACGAGTGACGAGTTAAACTCGACAAAACTGCAGTATTTATGTTCAACTGAATTGCAGCAAACGCCATCCGCTGGCGCCCTATCGTGAAAGGGAAAACCTGCTCATCAGGAACCGTAAGACTGATTTCCAAATGTTCTGTCTCAAAAAATAAAATGGTGACCGCGCAGCGGCCGTCGCTTTGCCCTGGCTACGCTGCTGAGTTCGTAAGGACGTGCCTTCGTCGTGACACAATTACGCATGCCATCCATGCCGTTGTAGCACGCCCTAATAACATCAGCACTGTGTCGTAGCCAATCTACGGTTTATTGGGGCCCAGAGACGTGAGCATGAGACATGTAAGGGAGTCTTACAAGATGTTGTTCTTCGTTCTTGCATTGGTGTGTTTATGTCTCACCTGACAGGGTAATGACGTTTGCTGATGCTCCTGTCCCAATAGGAAATGAAACTAAAAATACGTTGCGCTCATAATGGCACAATGGCATGACACATAAAGTTATACGGCCATCGCCTAGCTAATTTCCACCGCTGCGTGCGCTGAAGAAAGAACACAGCAAAATGCTTTTTGTTTCTTTTATGGCCTATTTTGAGTTTTTCGTTTTTTTATTCAGATGAGTACTTTTCAGATCACGATAGAACAGCACATAACGTCGATAACTCAACGTGCGCATGTCACAATGCTGCATCTACGTGAAAGTTTGAAAATAGCGAAACACGTTACGGAGGTTTCCAAGCAGCAAACGGGATACCTAAATGTATCGCAAATGATGCGCAGCAAAAGATACAACGACATAGGTCTGACATCCTGACAAACATGTGCATCTTGTAATGCCTGTAAGGGTGGCCGGTTTAGGTTCGATTCATTTTTATGCAGCCTGGGGTGTTTTCTGAGGTACGCGTTGGTATATTAAGCCCTGCTTCTGAACACCGATGCTTGCCGAGAAAAGGGTTTTAACGCCAGTAAAAATTCCTTAAATAGCCATATGACATATTCACGTATATAGACGAATTTCGATTGCCGTGTACATGTCTGAAGATGAAAAGAAAGCAATGACCGAAGGTCCGGTTCTTGCCGTCATATTGATATCAAAATGCACATGTCATCTACGTATAATTCACCTCTTTGCAGAGCTGAATGCATAAGTCGCAAGCATGGCATCAGACACACCATGTGCAGTATGGGGAGAATGGCAGTTCCTATTTGTGCGCAACCTAACGCTGTGACATGCATACCTTTTCCTCACGATCCTCGTGGAAAAGATGGGCACATCTAGATTATCGGACATTCATTTGTCCCTACGGCCTTTTGCCAGACAGAATTGCTTAAGGTCTTACTTGCCAGACAGCCCTCGCCACGGATGCCCCGGGTCAAGCTGACCTTTACTCAGCTGCCAGGTGACCTTACGTTGCTGTCTGGCCCCTGGGACTCGAGGTTATCACTACAGCATCACCAGTTCAGTACTTTTACCCTGGATCACAGAGACGGCAAATATAGGCCTTTCAACTCGCCATAGATGCAATTGAACAGGGTCGTTATATCTGTACCTTGCATTTAGACGAAACAGAAAACATAATTTGTCACAATGTTTGACCCCTGGCTGTACTTCTGTCGTTTTTGTTCTCTTGCTATCTAAAGGAAATGGTTAATACGCGTCGCAAATTGCCCTATGAGCTCCGCCTTGTCCCCGCACCCTAACATTGGTCATAAACTCTACTGCGCCGTGTTGAGGCGTCTGAGAGACAAAACACTCGGTGGAAATGACCTGAAGTGTGGCGTGGTTTTAAATGAGTGCTCCAGTATGGCGAGGTGCCCGCTCACAGTGTGGTAAAAGCGTGCGAGTTTTTGAGACACACCACCATCATCGCCGCAGCCCGTCGGATTTGTCTTCCTGTGACTCTTTCCTCTTCCAAAAGATAACCTCAAGCTGCAGGGTCGTCATTTCGACATCGTGGAGAACAGCCAGTGTAAATCGCACGTGGTGCTCGACACGCTTACAGAGCATGACTTACAGCAGGCGTTCTGAACACGGAAGAAGCGCTGGGAGCGATGTACTGCTCACAAGGCGGCTAATGCAAAAGGGATAGTGAGCGCCTTTAAATCAGGTACGTCTTCTGAACTTTAAGGGCGAAGTCTTCAAACCTATATCCCACAACTCACACATAAAGTTACAACATAACCGATGATTGCTTGAAAATATATCTCAGCAAATACCTCCTAGCATATTGAACGTAGATTATTTTGAGTATAAGAACTCCAAGCCCATGACGACGAAACGCAAGGGTCGCAAGGCATGTATATGCCTTGCTTTTAAACGAGACAACCATATTTGGAAATTGATGGCAAACACCAGGTCAAACAGTATACACGCAAATACCTTGAAAATAATACGGCGCACCATTTTAATGGCTCCACTCCTTGTGGTGCAAAAACGCATGCAGACACCATAATCTGCCATAACGCTATAAGTCAGCCAAAAGCGTTTGCGCCCACTTCGGGTGGGGTCGCTAAAGCCACACGGCATCCGGCTAGCTAATGTCTAATTGGTCGGTTACGACTTTGTGCGTAATCCTTCTGTCACCAGATGCGTGACCTCAGGTGTTTTTTTTTATTTGAGCTCTTGTACAGCCTAGTCAGTTCATATTGGCTACCGTGTATGTGACAACTTTAATGAATTGAATCGTTATATCGGTGTTACATAGCTCCGGTATCCGAAACAACATCCACACGCTGGTCTTATCTTTGCCGTTACAATCAACGCTTCATATTATCACTAAGGTCGTCATCAAGTGAACAGCGGTAGCACGCAGCCATCAATTCTATCTAGATCCACCATCAACCACACGCCGTCACCTAGATCCACTTTATCCTCAGGAGTTGATGGCAGGTAATCAATATCGCATCAGATTCCCATCAACCTCAAACTGCTGGTAGATTTTCAACAAAAGCGTCCCAGCGCGGTACTAGCATTGAACGCGGTAGGCCTTCACATGAAATGGATGAACGCGAAACTGATAAAATCGCCACCGTCTCCGACTTCAGCTGCGCTGTTGCGACTCCGAGGCTGGCCTTGACGTACGCTCGCGTGCCTGGAGCCACTTATTTGCCTATTGGCCAGCGGCTGGGGACGCCGGCCAATCAGGTCGTGCGTCGGCTGGCGACGGTGAGAGCGTGTCACCTGATTACAGCGCCATGTCGTGCCGATACCGCTCCATCACTGGACATCGGCCATCGACCACGCTCGCGTTGGCATGGACGACCGCCGCCTCTGCAACAATCGCCGATCATTTCCCCCGATTAGCGATGATTCTAATTGCGCGGCCGGCCAGGCGGCCGCTCTTTGTTCGACCGCAGTCAGTGCCCGGATTCGGCGGCGTGCTGTGACCGGTGTCGCTCGCGAGGCTGACCCGACCCGACCCGACCCGACCAGACCCAACCCAGCTTGACCTAGGCCGTACCGAGCCGGGCTGAGCCGGATCGGTGGGAGCCGACAGCCGGCGTCCGTGCGTGCCGCCAGCCGTCGGCGGTGCCGTGTAATCAGCGTCGGCGCCATGTCGCGGCTGGTGGCGCGGGTCGAGGCCATAGTGCTGAGTCCAGACCCGGACGACGGCTCGACCGGCGGCGCCGAGCTGTGGCGGCAAGCGCGCGCCGTCCGGCTCGGCCGCCGGCTGCTGCCGACGCGCCGCCTCCGGCAGCCGCCGCTGCCGCCACCGGCCGCGCCGCGCCGCCGCCGCAGCCGCAGCCCCTCGTCGGACGAGTGGGACGGCGCCAGCGAGCCAGCCAGCCGACGCAGCAGTGCCGACATCACGCTCTGGAGCGACGCCGAGCTGATGACACCGCCGGCGTCGCCGACACGCCGCTACGGACCGCTGCTCCAGCCGCGGCGCGTGTCGTCTAGCTTCCTACGGCTGCGCGAGACGGCCACGAGCGTGTTCGGCGCCGTCAAGTTCCGGCACGAGACGCCGCCGGCGCCGGCCGCTCCGGCGCGCCACAAGTGGGCAGGGTGCGTCGCCGTGCGTTCGGTGGTCGGGCGCGGCGCCCGCCGACGGCGGGCGGCCGGCAGCGGCCAGTGGCGTGCGACGCCGGCCCGGGCGACGGCGAGGCAGGTGCGCAGGTGGGCGCGGCTGCGGAGGAGGCTCTGGCGAGGAGCGACTCGAGCGTGAGCTCGATTGAGAGCGGGTCGAAGCAGAGGGAGAGGCAGCAGCAGCTCAAGAAGCCGCCGCTCTTTAAGAGGATGTCCGACGTCACGCGCCGCTCGGCCGACAGGATACTGCAGTCAGGTAAACAGGAGCAGCAGATTCTGGAGAGGTTCGTCCTTCGGGAGAACTCCCAGGAGCGTTTGAAGCGCGCCAAACTAGGGCACCGAAGCTGCTCGCCCTCCAGATCAGAATCGAGCAGCACCAGTGGTATCCCCACACGCACTATCAGCGTGCGAATAACGAAGGAGGTGCTTCCCCCTGGCGCCAGCAAACGTCCCCAGATTGCCGCCCGGAAGCTTCTCGAAGGGATGGCAGCCTCGACCAGCACCAAGCAGCCGCCGCCACAATTTCTTACAACGCCTACCAGCGCGGCGCCGGACGCATATCCTCCAACGAAGTCCGCGCCACCACAAGGAGCCGTCCCCACTGAGGCGCCCTCCGCGGACGCTGCGTCAACTAGCGCCTCAAAAGACGCCCAGGAGGTGGCGGGCGTGTCACTGTCGGCGACGGCCGGCCGCGCCTCGTCGCGTCGCTCGTCGGTGGCGTCTGTGACGTCACTGGCGTCGCTGTCGCCGGCGCAGCGGCGGGCTTTCCTGAAAAAGATCCGGCTGAGGCGCAACGTGCAGGTGCCGGGCGTCATGTACACGGACCAGGCGCGCGCGGCGGCGGTGGCGCTCGGCGAGCACGACATCAAGTACAGCCTCAAGAACCGGCGCTTCCTGAACCGCGGCCAGGCCGGCTGCTGGGTGTCGGAGGACTCATCATTTGTCGCCTTCGCCTCGCACGCCCAGCTAGAGCTGCGGCGCGGCGACCCGACCTACGCCATCAAGCTGCTGGACAGGGTGAGAGGCCGGACAGGCGGCCGGCGGCAGACCGCTCGCGCTCGTGACGGCAGCTCGAGCTCCTCGGAAATGGTCTGGCTACCCCCGCCCCATAACCCAGTGGCGTCCCTTTGATTGGCGTTTATTATCGCAGCTGGAAGGGCTTATCATGACATCAAAGACCCTAAAAAATTACAAGTCAGAGGAGCTGAAATTGTGGCCTGCCTGGACCCACAGCCCGAATACGTTCTTACCATCACCCACCAGTGTGTACGGTGCCCGCAGTGAGCGCGATTTTTTGTTGTGCCACATGCCGTTACATTTAAGAGCGAAATTCCTGTTAAAACTGCCGTCAAAATCCAAATGCGGCCATCAAGTGCGAAACACCATCATGTATGCGTAAAACGCTCTTGAAAACCTGACTGGAGGGAACAGCGAATTCTGACAGGCAGGGGCAGGTCTGAACGAAATGGGGACATAGCCCGTGTTGTGATCTACGGGGTCGGCGGGAAGGGAAAACAGCATCGATCAGTATCCAGTGATCATTCAGCCTTACAACTGTCTGTTCTGAAGCCGCACATTGTAATGTAGGAAGCACCATGGCCACATACATGGTTGGATCTAGAAAGAGGTCACGGACTGTGACACCCCCCTTAGGCCACCCGTGACATTTTGGATCCAAAGAAGCACCAAAACCTTCAAAAACCTTTATTTGGGTGTCGTGAATCAGGCTACGTCTTCGTCAGCCATGTATCGTTTGGATTTCAGCCGCCTGTGGTCACCGAAATCAAAGCGCTTCTCGGGAAAGGATACCTACCAAGTTTCAGGAAATCACAAGCTTTCGCGCCCCTCCTCTCCCTTCCCATGGCGAAATCCTGGGAATCCCTGAAATATCTGGAGGCTTCTGTGTGAGTCCTGGCGCCATTTTCTGGATAACGCTCTGATGGAAATATGTGCATTATTTATGCTATGCACACGCTACTCACGCGCGAATGCTTCAAATGCCGTTTTCAATATCAGTGAGAACATATGTGGAGCTAGCAGGAGCACCCATGTGCCTCAAACCCGTCCGTCGCTCTAGCTGAAGGCTTTATGGGCGCTTTAGAAGAGCCTTCTTGCCTCTGCACCGCTCAATCCATTCTAATCGAGGGCTATGTCGACGACACGTTCGTCATTTGGTAGCATGGCCGTCCTGCCCTGCATCATGGTCTTGAGCACCTGATAAAGCCAGTATGCAGCTCTCCATGGGGGTTAAACAGCATGGAACACTTCCTTTCCTGGACGAACAAGTGAGGACATCGGACGAATGCTGACGCCGAAGTAGGCAGGGAACCGACACTCCCAAACGTGATCACCAAGTACGACTCAAACCAAGCGAGCAGCACACAGAATGGCATCACAAGAGCTGATATGGCCACAGAGCTGTGCCGTGTCAGACGGGCGGAGTTTGCCGAGAGAATGGACCTTCAAGAAATATCTTAAGACCAATGCCATTCTGAAAGTATGCCGCCAAAGCCTTTCCAAAACGAGCAAAGCACAATCATCGGGAGAACAAAGATGGAGGCCAACGTAAGTCAGCATTCCGTGCACAAAAGGCGTCAGCGAGAGAATGAACAGGACATTAGCTTCGCTCAGTATTCAAGCAGCATACAACTCCAATCCTCTCCAAGAGAGAGACTCAGGTATGTAAAAAACACATATCCGAGGAGAAGCAGAAGGAAGTTGCATATACAACGACATACGCGGGTGTGGCGCAGCCTACATCGAGAAAGCAGGCTAGCCATAGAGCGCCAGACTGAAAGAGCGCGCCGCTGCACTGGAACATGGCCGATAAGAGGCCTCGACGTTGGCGCATCATTGGATTCAGCGCCGAATTCTCGCCGACCCATTGAAAGCCAATACTCGGCTGCAGAACCTTACTGGTCCCGACGCGTCAAGGCTCAGAAAACCCATCGAGCTTCATTCGCGATCCCATCACTAACTTGAGGCGTGCCCAAGGCGTCACTCAGCCCCGAACGTGTTTTCAATCGACGAGGTTAAATACCATCACACTCAACATATTCTACTGTGTGAGTTTGAATTAAGCCAGTGCGTGCCGTTTGATTTCCCCGCTTGCGAGCTAAATTTGCCGTTGTGCAATGTTCTAGGCCATCATCATTGCATGCCGTTAGAATTTTTTCCGTTCTCCAGCTTCGTTCACGTCTCCTTTTGGAAAGCGATGTCACGCAATCATCACACGGTTTTACTAGGCTTTTATCCGTCGACGTCTGTGTTATTCATACTGGCCCTGTTGAAGGTATAGCAAGAATTACCGAGCTATAACGAACTACGCAGGCGTTTTATAGCTAAACAATGCTGAGCACCTTTTCGATAAAACGGAACAATAACGATGTACCGGTGTTGACATGACTCATGGTATGACCGATGGCCCAATATATGGCGCTCCAGTCTAACATTAAAAGGAAATGTAGCTGAAGATGTGGTCTAATGCAAACACAAGACGTGCAAGACTTGGAAAACGGCCTATACGGTTGCAGTTCTGCCACATTAATTTTGTTGAAATACGACGAAACTTAGTGCACTTTATGTAACTCGTTATGTTGAGCTGGGCTAATGCAGACAGCTTGATTGAGATAATAAACTTCGACGGACGTTTTGAAGTCAGAAGGTGCTTCTAAACACGTCTTAAGCAGCCCTTTGATAAGATGGAGCGTTCTTCGCTGTGAATGGTTGTGAAGAAATTGTTTTTATTGCTGTTGAATTCGTTTTAAAAAGTTGCGGCAAATATTCTAGCGATTTCATTGCGATATTTACGGAACGTGATCTTTTTCCGAAAGATTTAAAAATCGCAGAAACATTTTTTGAATTCAGAATCCACCTGTGACACCCGGAGGCATGCCTGCTTTTGATGTCAGGTGTCCCAGGACGCACGCCACGGTGCATTAAGGTATACACCGGTGTGCAGGAAGTGGTAGGCAAATGGTGGTTCGCCAATACAGTGAACGGCCCAATATTGTGACACCAGCCCACAGCGGATCAGCTTCCTCCGATGATGGAAGTCTCGTCTGCCGGGGGTGGCGAAAACGCCACTTTCATATCAGCTTGCTTTTTTAATTTGTGATGCGGCTGTAATTTCTGCACCTCAAGAAGAAAAGTGGTCAGCCCTGCAGATTGCCAGCCAGGACATGTTGAGTGTTAAACAGCGCGCCTTCCCCGGCCGTCCCCACATGTATTCTACATTCCTGTCGGTTTCATAGATGACAATATTGCGCCTAGATTAATGATACTTCCAAAGCTGAGCAACTGGCAGGATTTTCTTAAGTGAGGTGTCCGGAACTTGGTGAGTATGAATCATGCTGCCTTTGATTTTCTGTGGAGAGCCATCTATGGTAAAAAAAAACAAACAAAATCCAGACTTAAGGAGGGGGCCCGGGCCCTCGGGCCCCTCCCTTAACTTTAACTGAACTTTAACCCTTAACCCTTTAACCCTTCCCCTAACCCTTAACTTTAACTTAACTAACCTTAACTGCGCCCCCCGCCCCATTCCAAAGCATGAGTTTGCATCTTGCGATTCCTATGATAAGCATCGATTCTGTATCAGCAAATGCAGCGAGCGGAACGCTGTCTTTTGTGCAGCCAGGCAGCGGGCCACTGTTTCCGCATTCCACGAGAACAGGTCTGGCCGCTGTGTCCGTCGCAGCCTTTGGCTCGGCGTCTTTTAAGCTCGCCGGCGTCACACTGGCACGCAAATCCCATAATAAAGACTTTGACTTTGGCGAATAGCCGATGTGACGGGGTGGAAATTCGGCTGAAAGCGTGATTGGGGTGCTCTGAGAGTTAATGGCTTCGAATGGCGGAGAAAGTTGTGAAGAGATCCTGTCACGAATTGGTACCGGTCGAGCGCTGCCCGACCCTGTTCGTTTATATTGTAATTGTATCAGCTGCTGCAAGGAGGGCCCGGCATAAGCCCAGGTCGTTTTCAGTCGAACGCTGCAGACATGACGGCCGGGTATCGCCCGAAGTGTAAGGAACATTGACAGGACCAGAAAATGACCAGCAAATTACGTCAATCAGTCACTCGCACGTGGAAACCGCAAATGAATGCCCGACGTTTTGACTTTATACCAGACATAGCTATCCGCCCGCCACTCCTCTGCCAAAAACACCGCTGTCAGTTTTGATTCACTCCAAGCGTAGCACGGAATTCCCACCTAACCCATGCACTTGATGCGGCAGGCCTTGGAGTTCGAGCCGAGGGACGAGTCGTGTCTGGTGAACAGGAGCAAGTGCCATCTGCTGCTGGGCAACCACGAGGCTGCACTGAAGGACGCCGAGACCATCCTCAGTCAAAACCCGCGCTGCGCCAGAGGTAAGAAGTTCTCGTGTAGACCCTGGGCTGCGTCTGTAGGGAGGCGATCTCCGTGGAGAACACTCGTTACGCGAGGAGAAGGCGGTCGGTCTCGTCATGACGGAAGCGGCGTTGTTCCAGAGGCGATGCAGTCCTCTGGAGATTAGGTCCTTGTGCGAAACCCATGCTGTAAGCACCGTGCAAGCTAAGTCAAGCTAAATCTCGTTGACATGGGCCAGCGTCGCCCGGGCATGGCCGCCGTGATGTAGAACCAGCGTTGTGTGAGAGGTGACGTGATCCTGCGCCGTGTTAGGTGGGAACGCAAAAGCGGGAACAATAGGACATCGTGGGGGAAGGGGGAGGAGACATTTCCGGGCCAGAACTTTTCGGTAACTGTTTGTCTTCAAGAATTGCAAAGAGCGAACGAATCGAAATTCTCTTGCTACACATGGGTGACCGAGATCCGTCAGCTTCTGACTCGCTACCGTCGCATTGTAAATGGCTAGTGCTATAACCACTAAATGCTTCCTTTGAAGACCTAGATCAAACAACAACATCGTATTACAGCGTCCCGAAGGCGCTAGACAGCTTCCCTGAGATTTCCTGTCACTTTCTCCGCACGCAACATCGCGAGGCGCCTACTTTTAATAACGTCGAAGGGCACCAAAGTTTCTGAACCACTGGAAGTTGGCCGGCGGCACGCTAGTCCCCAGAGCAAAGTTCCGGGCTGGCGCGGAAGATAGCGTGTCTGTGAATGGCGGGCCGCGCTGCCAGCAGTCTTCGGGGCAGCGCTGTCAGCAGTCCTCGGGGCAGAACGGCCAGTAGTCCTCGGGGCAGAGCTGTCATTAGTCCTCGGGGCAGAGCTATAATCAGTCTTCGGGGCAGCGCTTCCAATAGTCCTCGGGGCAGCGCTGCCGGCAGTCCTCGGGTAGCGCTTCCAATAGTCCTCGGGGCAGCGCTGCCGGCAGTCCTCGGGTAGCGCTTCCAATAGTCCTCGGGCAGCGCCTCCAGCAATGATGCAAGGCAGTGCCAAATGTTCATTCAACAGCTTCGATGCCAGGCTACCACCACGGTACCACCAAGAGAAATTAACGACACCTGCATGCACTTGTTTCCATTTTGCATCCCTGGTATACCCACATCAAGAGGCCTGTTTTTAAGCTGCGAATGCTTTAGGTAGCGACAGGTGAGACGTGTTAGATGTCTAACACGAGAGTGTCAATTTCATTACTTCCTCGGGTTTAACAACGGAATCCTGCGAGCAAATACTCCATACGCTTTGCAAGTTGTTGTAGTAATGTTTCCCGAGAGGTGCTATAATCATATCCGAACTCAATAATTGTGGAAAGGGAGGTGCCTGTACGCACATTAAGTGTGACTGAACAATGGTAAATGTCACCTCAGACAGGCCACACCAGGTCATAGAGATCAAATGTGCACTTTCTGAACCCCTCCTGCTATCTCGAGAACCAGGTATGCTACGATAATTCGGATTCCTGCATACGATAGCTCTACAAAAAGAAAAACTATGGGATGGAAGTTAGTAGACCTTGCTACATCTGAGCCCTGCATTTCTGTGACAGGTCGAAGGAACGAAGGTTCTAATTGCTGTGCCACGTACGACAACATTAAGAACTTGAGAACACTCGACCTAAAAGAACAGAGAACATGAGAACTCTAAGAACAACACAAGAACTTGAGAACACTCGACCATTACGCCCCACCCCTTTCAGAGATGAAAAATATGTGACCTTAGGGCGTAAACCGCATGATCTTCAAAGCGTTAAATGCTGTCACAAAGGTCAAAGTTTGACCATGATTGACCTTGGATGATGTGACCTTGCATTAGCCACCAGAACAATATTAGTACACTTTATAGCGATATTGATAAGAAGAGCAGCCTAGAAAATTTGTGGAGTGTATTTCGTGTGAGAAATCAACACTATTGATAAATTCTGAGCAAAATGTCACCGACCTGACCTCAAGGAAGAGGTCACAGGTCATGAATCATCACGTCATCAAAAACCCGATGTTTTCGCCATATGCATAAAAATGATGCAAACTCGCAAGCTCAAATTTCAGTAGCGTGCTCTAAATTTGTCGGCATCTATTCCCAATAAATGATATTGAGGCCTTCCCCCCCCCCCCTCATGTAAAGCGAGGGTGAACAAGGTGTCGAACTCGGTGCCAAATCTGAAACGCACAAAAACTATTGTAAATAGGTAAGAAGGTTATCGTTTGTCATTAAGTCCATCAAGCCGCTAAGTTTTGCTACGTAAGCGTTTCCGTTTTATCATCATGTACCTATTCGTCATTTTGTTTGCGATTTGGTCCAATGGCCGGGGACCAAATAGTAAAGTGGCGCTTTTCTGAAATAATGAAAAGGCAAGTACACGACGATGAACAAGATTTTGCTGAAGTAAAATTTACAGGCTGTTTGGATAGATCTGACGACTTTGTTTGTCCCAGCGTTCAAGTATTTTGGAGTTGGTGCCGAGTTAGCTCTCTGTGAGGTAATACCAGGGTGGAAATGATTTAAATAAACACCAGCCTCTGAACCAGAAGTCATGCTGAGGCGAAAGCGTTTGAAATATTTCTGCGCCGGTAGCGAACGAACGGCAAACGAAACGTGTGGGTGAAACGGAGACGCGGCAACTTTCTACTATTTACCAAAAAACAGTTAACATTGATAGGTTACATAATTTTGTCCCACTCCAACATCGGTTGCACCATCACGCTTGCTAGCGCCGACCGACTCCAAAGCCGATGTATCTGAACAAAAAATGTCATAACTGCTCATCACTGACCCATATGAGTCAGGCAAAAAAGATCGGTATGCAATTATCAGTTGAGTAGTTTGAGTCATAGAGCGTTATATAGAAAACGTTGGAAAAGAAACATTGCCATGCAACAATGTATCCATCTTTAAGTTTACAAAACGAGACTATCGGTTTCAGCCAATGCGTCTTTCTTTGGTTGCAAAGAGCCAAAAGCCCGTCAAAAGCGATCGTTCGTGTTAAAAAAATCATTATATCTGGAAAAGTTCTGCGAGGCACTTTGCGACTCACGCTCGGTACGTTGTCCGCAATTCCTCGATGTCGGGGCCGGTTCGCCGAAGATGGAATTCACTTGGTGACAATCTTATTTTGGCAACACCCTTACCCACACTCACTCGCAGATTCATCGATATTTTGATGGGTTCACAGGCTCTGCCTGTGGCATGGTGGAGTCGTGCCATGCAACCGGTTCACATAAATCAAGACGGACTTCCTCTTTGTGACACCGGCTCTACGTCGGCACAGTCCTAAACGCCACATTCCTGCCCGGTATGCCTCGAGCGCGTGCGGCGCGCCGGAGCCCCCTCTCGCCAGCACTCCTCCACACGCGAAGGGGGAGGGGAAGGGGCAGAGCTCGCGTGTGTCGCGGACGCAACGATAAAAGGCGACGTGGCACCCCCAGCTGCGCTGAATGCACTCCGTGTCCCCCCGATCGATCCCGCGGTGGTCCGGGAGTGATGGTGACGGATGATAGGCGGGCCCGGTGAGCAAGACGCCGCGGCTGGGGCGGCCTGTGGGTCCAGGGTCGGCTAGGCTCGTGGGGCGTCATGAGCGATGCGATGGTGAGCGGTGGTGATAATGATGATAATCAGGCAGATATAGAGCACGGACGGTGTCACGGAATGAGGAGTTCGGGGTGTTGTGCAGCCTCATGGGTCATGCAGACCTGTGTGTTCGTTGCCCTATGACGCATAAAGCCTTGTGAGAACACGATGCCAACCACGTGATACCGTGCCGAAGAATACCAAACGACAGACGTGAGGATCAGGTGAAACTTAATTTGTCACATGATGAGTTGTGGACATCTGCGTTACTTCAAACTCAGATAAGCACGTGCCATACTTTACCGATTCGACTTTCTCTTGTTCGTGTCTGGTCATTCTTCCTGGCCGCAACTAGACAAGCACAGATGTCCTTTCGTGTCCTTCCATCGGTGATTTTCCCTTCGGTAATGTGCCCTGTCGGTGATGTTCGCTAGCAGTTGCAGCCCATCTCAAGGATTTCTTCTCTTCGTTAGTCACATCTCTGGAGCAGTGTCGTCTGTCCACCAGTGTCGTCTGTCCATCTGCCGTCTGTCATTCAGTCATCCTTCCATGCATCCGCGTTTTCACCACCGGTCTCGTCCCTTGACCGGTGCGGTCCCTCCATCAGCGCCATCCCTCCAACCGTACGCTATTCCTCAGCACGCACGTTCCCTTACTGCCATTTCTAACCGGCTCCTTTTCTGCGCCAGTTCAGTACGTCCATCGTCACATTCTCTTCCACATCATCGAACCTCATCGTCGAGCCTCATCATCGAATCTCATCATCGGACCACATCATTGAACCTCATCATCGAACCGCCATCCGTGTCGTCCCGCGGGCGGCCCGTCCCCAGGCCAGCCCCCCCCCCCCCCCCTCCCCCTCCCCCATCAGTGACCCAGCCGCTGGACTGATCGCGGCGGTGGCACAGAAAGACCAGCCCACTCCTTCCCCACCAGTGACCTAGCCCCCTGGACCGATCGCAGCGGTGGCACAGAAGGCCGAGTCGCTGTACGCCATGGGAGAGTTCGAGGTGGCGCTAGTGTTCTTCAGCCGTGGTCTTCGGCTCCGGCCCGACATGGCCGTCTTCTCGCTCGGCGTGGACACGGCTACCGAGGCCATCGAGAACGCCGTCGGAGGTGGGTCAGCCTAGCTGAGAGGATGTGGACATCACCTCCGGGGGGGAGATGGGCTCCATCTCCGGGGAGGTGGGCTCCACCTCCGGGGAGGTGATGCCCTCCTCCGTGTTGGTGGGAATCACCTCCGGGGTGGTGGGCTCCACCTCCGGGAGGCGGGTCTGGAACTCCGGAAGGAGGCGTGCTCACTTCGTCTGGTGGAGATGGATCCTCACCGGGAGGAAGTGGGTCCCCTGACTGAGAGGAGGTGGGCTCTATCTCCATGGGAAGTGGGTTCCTCCTCGGGGGAGGTGGTGACCATCTCCTGGGGAGGTGGGCATCACCTCCGGGGAGGCAGGCTCCATCTCCGGGGGATGTGGACTTCACCTGCGGGGGAGATGAGTCTCTAACTCCGTAAGGAGACGTGCTTACCTTGTCGGGATAGATGGATCCTCACCGGGAAGGAATGGGTCCCCTGACTGAAAGGAGGTGGGTCTCTAACTCTGGGAGGAGGTGGGCTTCCTTTGCCAGGAGGAGATGGGTTCCTCTTCGTGAGAAGATGGGTCCCCCCATCGAGAAGACGTCGGTCTCCGTCTACGAGAGGAGGCGAATCCCCCTTGTTGGGGGGTTGGGGGAGGTGCGTCTGATCTCTGGGACAGAGTGGGTCTCCCGGAGGAGGTGGATCTCCATATCTTCGAGGAGCTTGACTCCTCACTTAAAAGAGTTGGATATCCCGCACATCCCAGGTGGTGTAGGTCCCCATCTCAGCGAGAAGGTAGGTCACCTCAACGGGGGAAGGCCGGCCTCTAACACTGACTGATGGTGAAGAAAGAACGACCTTAAACCCCGTCACCAACGTTCAAGGTCTCCATCACTATGCACACTGGCAAATGCAGATCTTGTTAATAATCATGTAAAAAGTTAATAAGCGTAATGTACGCACGGTGTGCAAGCCTATCCATTGCAACTTGACTGTATGCGTTCAAAAGTCCGTCTGTTTACACATGTACCGTGTGTTTCTACGGATGTGTAATGATACCCACATCGCAAATCTGCATTCATTCGAACATGAATCGCAAAAAATACAATCGTGTATGGAATCGGTGAATCGATGAATGAATCGGTCAAATCGGTAAATCGGAATCCGATGTCTCTTGCTCGCCGCATGCTTCTTTTTGTCGAAGGGCTTAGCCGTAGCCCTCTACTGAAAAAGCAGCTTCCGAATAGTTCAGGAAACCGCTGGTCATCCGGGACGCGTTATTAACGTTCCATTGCTTTGGAAAAGGCGGAGGAAACCCTGCACAACCTGCCTGCTAAAGTAATTTTTCCTTGTGAACTGACTGGCTCCGTAGAACCGGACCAAAAATTCGCAACAATACACGCCAAGCATATGCTCCATAGTCCGCACAGATTGAGGTGCTTCTAGGCTCCAGCGGAGCGTGGAGCGAATCTTGTGGACTTTGCATCTTTTCCGCGAAAAGCGTTTGCATATTTTGCTGGCAAGCATAGATTACTACAAACCCCTCGATCGACGACACCAGCGACGATTGGTATGATCACTGGCGTCTTAATCGCGAGTACCCAAGCTGTCAAGCACGCGCACTCTCCGATGGAAGCCTCACTGGCTACCCGGCACAGCCAAAGCGGATCCAGTCCGGTGGCGACTGCTCAGCCGGCTCATACAGGGGGACGCTCCTCAGCTCGCGCCGGGCTCGACTTCAGTGCAGCGTCCTCCAAAGCCGGGGTGGACCTGGACACCGTCGTGGCCAGCGCTGGCCTGGTCTCCGGCGCCGAGGCGGGGATCGTCGCGGCGAAGCTGCGCGGCGGGGCGGCCCCGCCCGCTCCCGCCGTGCCAGCCCCGGCGGACGGCGGGGAGGGCGCGGCGCGTCCCCGCTCGGCGGTCGGACACGGCCGCGGTCGACGCTCGCCCTCCGTCTCCCGCGCCCGCACCGTTCTCCAGGAGCTGGCCGTCGACAAGGAGTACATGGAGAGGTGAGTGGTGCCGGCCGGACTCCTCCTGTGATGTAGGCAGACTGGTTGGGGGCGGGGGAGGGGAACGAGACCGTTCGTGTCTGAGTGAACCCTGAGCCGAAGACGCACTGCCTGACAAGGGCCAAAGAAAAATGAGAGTCTTTTCTCCAAGCTAGGAGAGTTTTCTCGCCCAGCCTGGGGGTGCTCGGGAGGATCTGAGCTTGTCAGAGTTCCCAGTCAGAGAGAGCTCCCAGACTTGTCAGAGTACTACGTTATCTCATTTCTTTTCGGATCGCACCACCGTATTCGTCGTAACGGGTCGCGTCCTCTCGCCGACCCGACCCTGTCCGTTCACATATGGATTCCGGTATGACAGTGAGGGGTATGACTCTTTCACTATTGCCTGCTGTCCATGTCACAAGCTGCTGCTGCCTGCGTGGCCCAAGCCTCCAGCGGGCCCCATGTCCCCTGACGCATTGTTCACGCGGCATGGCCCAGCCCTGCCGGGAATGCTCACTCATCTGCACCGCTCCCTTGCTGGTCCACCGCCCGATGATCGGGCAGCAGATCAGTTTCGCTGATCACCGGGATCAGTGATCACCGCCAGGGGCCGGGATCACAGCCCCACCCAGCTCGGCCTCGCCCAGCCCGGCCCGGCCCCTCACCCGCCAGGGCCGGGATCACAGCCCTGCCCATCCCGGCCACTCACTGGCCAGGGGCCGGAATCAGGGCCCTGCCCACCCCGGTTCATCACCCGCCAGGGGCCGAGATCACGGCCCCGCCCAGCCCAACTCCTCACTCACCTCTGCCGGCCCGTTTCCAGACTGATCCGTCCTCACTCACCTCCGCCGGCCCGTTTCCAGACTGATCCGTCCTCACTCACCTCCGCCGGCCCGTTTCCAGGCTGATCCGTCATCCGGCGCTCAGCGGCAAGTGTCGAGAAGCCGTGGTGAAGCAGGCCGAGGAGGCCATCAGCTTCCTGGACAAGCGGCAGCAGTTCTGGGCCAAGCAGAAGCCGGTGTACACCCGCGAAATGGAGCGACTCCGAGCGCTGGGCCGCGCCGACCCGCCGCCTGGCGGGCGCGGCAGGAAGCTTCGGGCTGGATCCTCCCGCCTGACATCCCGTCCGTCAACAGCTATAGGTGGCGCTACCAGCGCACACAGCTAAAGTAATTTAGTCTTTGTTAATGGTTTTGTTTATGGGATAGACGCCGGGTAGTATAGTCTAGCCATTAGGCATTAGGCTGATGGCAGATTCACAAGTGGTTGCGAATTCACGTGGACATTGCGAGATTCTCGCCAATTTTGGCCACCGGATTCACAAAGCAAAAAACGGCGTTATATACTTCGTGGGCGCTACGACAATTAGCTTTATGCAAATTGTTTTCGTTGATGTCAATACCAAAGCTCAATCTGACGCGTATTACATGGGTTGGGTAGACCGCACAATAAAACTTAAGTCACTCATGTGAAAGGTTGCAGTATCTAACTGTACATATGATTTTTTTTCGAGAGACGTTAACTCACAACTGCAATACCGCTGCACAGTTCTGGGCTTTATCATCGCTCACGTGGAATGATTACTAAAATGCACTTTAAAGTTACACGTTTGTGGATGTGCGTGAAACTCAACTCGGCCATTCCTATTTTCCAACGCTCGGGTGTCATTAACAATGGCTGTCACCGATCTCTGCCTTAGAAACTAGGGGCACGATGAAACGCTATTCAAGCTTTGGTCCCGCACCTGGGACGGGAAGAAGGTGTTACCTCTTTAAGCCTCTGGCGATGCACACCTTGTGCTGTGTGTGATTAGGGGTGCGAGCATTAGAACTTGCCATCACCAGGGGGCGCACCTTTCATACTAGCCACCGCCCATCATGAACAGCCTTATCCACCTAATGAATTGCCGGTAAACCTGACCGCTCACCCGCGGCGCTTCTTTCGACCCGTTCTGTGCGTGTGTGCGTGCGCGGTGTGCACGCTCCTAGCGCGTCCGGCGCTCCACGTATGATCTCAGCTCCACACCAGTGGCAGTGATTACAACTTAAGAGGCTTTCCCTGTCTGTTTATGAGACGCACATCCTGGCGAAGCGCCGTGTGACGACGCGTGCGGCGGGGTGCGGCGAGCGGGGTGAGGCATCGCCTCAACACTGCCTCGTGGCGCAGATCAACGCACAGTCACTGCGGGGACAAAGAGGCCTCTTCTGATCGATACCGCGATGACTCGGGGGCCGGCGAACGGCCGTAGCGTCGTTACCTTAGCAACGCTTCCGTTGTGACGACGGGGGCTTCATTTCGTCACCGAGTTAGTACGCTGTCGTCGCCGTGGGACAAAGGTCGAGCAAACACTGGCCCACCCACTTCTCAGTGTGTCTTGTTAAGGTAATTAACCCCTGTCCATTTTCAGAGTAAAACTCTAAGGTGTTGTTTATTCTGAAGATATCGTAATCTCTCCTCCAAACCCTTTGTCCCTGTGGTGAAGGCCCCAATTCGTGTCGTGAAATTATAGATAACTCAATGCACTCCAGCAAGGTAGTTTTACACATCCCAGTTTAAAAATCAAGCGAGGCAAGCCTTTTAAATACGGGCTTGTCACACATGATTAATAAATTGTATGCTTAAGTATGCTCAGATAGACGGGGACACAAGTGATAAATTTTCCCCGAGCTTCTGCAGATTTCGACCAAACTCTATTGAAAAAGCCCAGTATCTAGTCTAAATCAATCTATTTAAGGGGATAGGAGGCATGACATACGTGCTCTCGTCCCTTGGCTACGTCCCTGGCTGAGCACGCAACTTACGACATAACTACGTGAAAAACAATAGCTGCCTGACATAGCTGACAGCTGAGATAGCAACAATAGCTGCTGCCTTCGATCCTCTTCAGACGTGAATGAAGTGCAGCGCATGCGCGAGAATACATCGGTATGAGATCGGCAAAAGTGGGCTTCACATTCCTTCCGAATGACCACTCGCTCGCACCGCCAGGGCCAACTTTCCGGACAAGTACCGGCTCCATGGCGTTGAGCCAACATGGGTTAAGTGCAAGGTGACCCCGCGGGAGCAAGCCGTGCAGGGCCGGATGTCAGACGCTCACGTGCGATACACCAAAGCGTAGGTCACCCACGCGCTGCCCCGCCGCCGCTGGTGACACGCGTCGGGCCAAGGTCACGAGACCAGTGCAAACGAGCTGAAGGCAGCTGTTGACATCGGCTTCACCTCGCACATGCGTCCGCGACGAGCAGACATGCTGGAGGGACCTGCCGTGGCAGACAACGAGCGGATATGCTGGAGGGACCTGCCGTGGCAGACGAGCAGGCATGCTGGAGGGACCTGCCATGGCAGACGAGCAGACATGCTGGAAGGGCCTGCCGTGGCAGACAACGAGCGGACATGCTGGAGGGACCTGCCATGCTATTGTGTAGGCATTGGGCATACAGTGCACACATGGTCATAGGTGCACACATATAGAAGCGCATGCAAAACACAGCACGAACATGCCTAGGGAAGACAATATTTGTCTATACTTCAATAACAGTTTCTCGAAAGCTCCCTACCTTTCATGGGGTAATAATGAGAGTGGTCAAAAACCCCGGCTTGTGTCTTGATCGGGCAGATAACACATCACCAGAGCGAGAGCTCGCACTTTGCAGTGCGCCCCTCACCGCCTTTTACGTATTACCTTGGTTGTCTTTTCTCCTTCCCCTGAAGTGGAATACGGGTCAGCAGCCTGTGTTTTGCCTTCACAGAAACTACACAGATCACAGGTCCCAAATACCACCGTAAGGAAGACTTGATTCGCATAAAGTGAATTCGTAGCATAGAACCGAACACCATGAAATTCTGCACCATACTTAATCGAGCTGCACAGCCTAATTCTGGCGGAAATCGTGGGAAACAAACCTCTGGTACGTCGAAACGAACCGCTGGTAGATGACTCAGCATCGGCACTTGCTTGTGCTACATCGCTGATACAGACCTTCGGTGGCTTTACTCAGGGTAGAACTCGTGCCCCAGTTCCACTGTTGGGCCAGGCATGTGCTCGCTAGTCTCTATGATCGGTCTTACTGAGCCGACTACGGGCCGCTTGGAAGGGCGCTTGCGGCGCCGAAATCGAGTACCGTCTTATTATGACATGCTCGACGCTCGAGGGCAGACAGAGCCACGGGGTCGTGCCCTCCCGTGACCTGAAAGTCCTCGAAGGTTAACTCGCAGGGTGGTCCTTCATTGTGATGGAAGATCGTTTGGTTTGCCATCTTGGAAACAGAGTCCTCTAAGCCATCAACGACAGTGACCGTCGAAGTCTTTCAAAAGAGGGTTAAATGGGCATAGCGCTGATGTGGAATTTCTTTGCTTGGCACGATAAGGACTGTTCCCCAGTAAATTGGCAAAACGGCAAGGCGCCGAAGGACTCTCGAAATATGAAACTGGAATCGATGTCACTCGAATTCCTATTACGATTTTCCCGAATGGCCCTGGAACTGTTTTTCAAACACGAAAGGCAAGTTGCAATACATTCCGTCAAAAGTGCGTGCAGCATCGTGCAACGTAGACCAGCCAGCCACAATCAGCTCAGCCACCGTACCGTCACCCCGTGCGCAGCGGCGGCAAACACGGCGGCTCGTTTCATCCATCGTGCTCAGGGCAGTACATACTCCTGACCACTGAGCTGAGGCCTGACCTGCATGTTGGGGCGCCCCGGCCGAGGCCTCGTCCACAGGAGGCCTCGGACGAGCGCCGCGCGCCCCTCGGAGAGTTCGGGTACCCGGCCAAGGTGAGTAGAGCCGCGGCCGCGAGCGGGAGGTCGCAAGAACCGCT